CAAGTTTTAGGGCAGATACCCTAGTCTCAGTCAGCCCCTGTTTGTCCTTGTCACCCTACCTTGGGCATCACCCTTTCTCCATCTTTGCTCGAACACGAGTCTCATGAGTTGCTTTGATCACTACGGAGTCTGCAGTGCCTAAACTAGGTCTGATACACGGTAATCCAGTCATCAAGTCAGTCCCACTCACAACAACCCGATAGGACAGAGAAAAACTGCCCATAGGACTTCTGAGACTGCAAATCTTGACTAGCGGAGTCTGCCACAGCCTTCTTCCAAGCTGGTGGGCTCAAACAGCTGACCTTTTTGAGGATCACTGCTTTAACCACTGAGTCACAAGTGCTTCTTGAAACAAAGTGAACCCAAACTAAACCCACTGCTATCGTGCTGACTCTGACTCAGAACAGCCATAGAGGGCAGAGCAGAAACACTTCCCAGGGTTTCAGGGATGGTAAATCTTCATGGGAGCAGACTGTCTCATCTTTCTTCTGAGGGCTTGAATCGCCAGCCCAACGCTTAGCCCATGGTTCCACCAAGGCTGCTGGAAACAAAGTGCTCTATAAATACATCATGAAGAGCAACAACAGCTAATGGCTATCCTCAAGCACTTGCTGTGTTCTAACCAGCTCATTTCATCCTCACAATTGCCTTGTGAAGTAAGTGTTCATATTGTCCCCATTTTCCAAGTGGAGGAATGGAAGCCCAGAGAGATTATGGAATGTGTCTCAGGTCCTACAGCTAGAAAGTGAGTGGTGAAGCTGAGATTCTAACCAGGCCATTCTGACTCCAGAGCAGCATCTCTCAACTTTAATACCAGTGGCATTTTGAGTATGTTTTGGTTGGGGGCACTGTTATGAATTGAATGTGGCATTGTAGGATAAGACACTCAACCTCAAGGTCAGTTTGAACTGCAAGGTCGGTGGTTCAAAATTACTAGCCACTCCTTGGAAACCCTATACAGGATCTCTGTAAGTCAGAACCAATTCAATGACACTTAACAGCAACAACAAATAAGAATTGGAATGCTAACCTTTTATTCATGTGGATGTAATCCCATTTTGGAATAATTTTTTATTATGTTAATGAGACGATGTTAGTGGAGTATGTGTTCTAGGTTATATGAGATATGAGATTTGAGCTATGAGGAAGCTTCAGAAAGTTTGTGGGAATGAGGGATATCATTGCTGACATCGGATGGCTCTTGGCTGAAAGCAGAGAATACCAGAAAGATGTTCATTTGTGCTTTATTGACTATGCAAAGGCTTTTGACTGTGTGGGTCATGACAAGCTATGGACAATACCGTGGGGAATGAGTGCTCTGGAACACTTAATCATACTCATGAGGAAACTCATGAGACCAAGAGGCAGTCATTCCAATAGAACAAGGGGGCACTGAATGGTTTAAAATCCAGGGTTGTATTCTTTTACCATACTTATTCAATCTGTATGTTGAGCAAATAATTGGAGAAGCTGGATTATATGAAGAATGTGACATCAGGATTGGAGGAAGACTCATTTACTACTTGTGATATGCAGATGATACAACCTTGCTTGTTGAAAGCAAAGAGGACTTAAAATACTTACTGATGAAGATCAAAGACCATAGCCTTCAGTATGGATTTCACCTCATTGTAAAGAAAACAAAAAGCCTCACCACTGGACCAATAAATAACATCATGATAAATAGAGAAAAGACTGAAGTTGGCAAACACTTCATTTTGCTTGTATCCACAACAAACACTCATGGAAGTAGCAGCCAAGAAATCAAATGATGTATTACATTAGGCAAGTCAGCTGCACAAGAACTCTTCAATGTGCTCAAGGGCAAAGGTAGCAGTTTGAGGATTAAGGTGCATCTGACCCAAGCCATGGTATTTTCAAGGGTCTCATATGCATGTGAAAGTTGGACAAAGTACAAGGAAGCCTATATAAGAATTGATGCATTTGAGTTGTGATGTTGGAGAAGAATATTGAAGGTACTGTAGGCTGTCAGAACAAGCACATCTGTGTTGAAAGAAGTATAGCCGAGTGCTCCTTAGAAGTCAGGATGGTGAGACTTTGTCTTCCATACTTCAAACATATTACCAGGAGGGAATAGTCTCTGGAGGACACCATGCTCAGTAAAGTGATGGGTCAGCTCAAAAGAGGAAGATCTCTAAAGAGATGGATTGGCAATGGGTTCGATTGTGAGGATGGTGCAGGACCTGGCAGTGTGAAGTTCTGATGTGCGTAGGGTCAATAGGGATGCTGAGTCAGAACCGATTTGATAGCACCTGACAACAGGTATAAAAAGAACTGATTAGGCACAGAAGCAAGCAAGCACAGCTGGGAGAGGCAGATGCCAGCCCACAGGGGCACAAGTCCTGGTACCATAGTTGGTTGCAGGTTGGGCTGCTAACTGCAAGGTCAGGAGTTTGAATCTACCAGTCACTCTACATTAGAACAATGAAGCTTTCTGCTTCTGCAAAGATTTAATCTCAGAAACCTTATACAGGGTGGTTATGAGTCAGAACCAACTTGATGGCACACAATCACCAACCACCACCACATCACATGAAGATTGCCAAGGAACCAAGAACAGATGTTGAAAGAGACAAGAACCCACAGAGTGTCTTTCTTTATAGCTGGTGCCTTGAATTTGGACTTCTAACCTCCTAAATTATGAGAAAATACATTTCTGTTCACTAAAGCCATCTGCTTGTGGTATTTCTTTCATAGCAGCTTTAAAGAACTAACACAGGGGTTGTGGTACACTGTGGTTTTAAACTTCCCTGGCTTTTACGCCTTAGATAACAATAGCAGCCCCCCCCCCCACACACACACTTTACCAGTTAGGACAGCAAAAATTGTCTTTAGACATTGTCTAATGTCAGCTTGAGGACTAAGGTGTGTCTGACCCAAGCCATGGTTTTTTCAATAACCTCATATGCATGTGAAAGCTGGACAGTGAATAAGGAAGATCGGAGAACTGATGCCTTTGAGGTATGCTGTTGGAGGAGACTATTGAAAGTGTCATGGGCTGCCAAAAGAACCAATAGATCTGTTTTGGTAGAAGTGCAGCCAGAGTGGTCCTTAGAGGCCAAGATGGCCAAACTTTGCCTCTCATACTTTGGACATATTGTCAGGAGGGACCAGTCGCTGGGGAAGGAGCTTATGTTTGGTAAGGTGGAGGGTCAGAGAAAAAAAGGAAGACCCCCAACGAGATGGATTGGTGAAGTGGCAACATCGATGGACTCAAGCATGGCAACAGTAGTGAGGCTGGCCCAGGATCGGGCGGTGTTTCATTCTGCTGTACATAGGTCACTATGGGTTGGTACCGACTTAATGGCACCTAACAACAACAACAACAACAACAACAACAACAACGTTCTCTCTGGAAGGCAATCTCCCTTCCTTCCTCCTGCTTGAGAATCACTGCTCTAGAGATTTATTCTTGGGTGCTGTTAAGTTGATTCAGACTCAGAGTCGAACTGCCCCATGGGACTTTCTTGGCTGTTGTTTTTAAAGGAGATTACCTTTACACTC